TCTCAATTACTTGCCCCCACTAAAGGTGCAACACAAATCAAAGGAAAGAGTTCTGCCTCACTCTCGCTCATTCACAAACACACAAGGGCATTTTATGGGCCTACCCGGACCACACTGAAGTCCAGTTTGGCTTCCTGAGCACACTGCAGTATTAGCTGGAAGCAAGCCTTGCTCTGATTGGTCATCCCATTATCATAGAAACGTTCCAGGATCCTCTGCTGCTCAGCTGTAAAGACTGACCGCAGGTTCATCTGATAGACAATCACAAAGATAAAGAACACCCCAAAACTTTGTATTACACAGGAACAGCTCAGTGACAGATTGTGGTAGATGATTAGTTTAAAGAGATAATGCGGTAAGAGCTAACTTAAAGTTCATGACACTTGTGCAATTTCCTCTGTAATGGACTGCAGTATCAGGGGTTTTGTTTAATACTTTTTTATTAAACATTTATTAAGCAAATGCATCAACTATGACACAATTCAATCCCCTGAGAGTGTCACAGTCTCAAGATTACAACCGCAGCAGTCATCCCTGTATTTTGTTTTCAATCTGTCAGATTTCAAGTCATGTCATCACCCCCCCTCGCTCATACTGGAATACAATTCTTGATATACTCACAGTCTGCAGGCCACGCCTCTGTGACCATGCATCCATTCTGCTACTGGATGGGAACTCCATTCTGATACTGGAGGGGAACGGGGCAGCCATGCAGATCACAGCAAAACCTCCATGTTTCTAGATTTGCGCCGTTTTGATTGTACGCATCGTGTGTCTCAGTGCACCTGTCACACTGCTGGGTAATGAGGCTGAGGAGACAGCAAGGCAGACTTTGCTTAAGAGCGTGAATAAAAAGAGTATGAAACAATACCAACTCAACCTATGTCATTATGAGCATGAATCTGTACTAATACCAACAACAGACGAACAATCTTTTCTGGATCGAGATTGAAAAACTCACTTTCATCAAGTTGTAGACAACCAGTCAACACTTTGTCATATAATACATTACAGATTACATCAAGCATTGTAAGGCTGTAAAATATACAACCCACTGTCAGTCATAAAATAATAGGCTATGGAGAAGCCGCGGTGTAGCATCAATAACACCATCAATCAAGCTAATATAATGTGCCTACAAGTTATTGTTCTAATCAGCTACTGAAAACCATTGTGCACTTGCATTAACCATAGTCACAATTACACACATATTAATTACAAATTATACTAGTCTTTTCAGCAAAAAAAACGAAATAGTATAATAATAATATTAATAACAATAACATAATAATGTATCACAAGCCTATTCAAGTTAATATTTCAACTTCAAATGTTGTTTATTGAAGTTTTTTGATGACATAATTCAGTTTTAACATGCCTGCGTGTACAAACAATAAAGACACAGTGATATACGACGTTAAATAATTTGCTTTTTGTGAACACAGCTTGCTTTTATCTTTCAAAGTGCCACACACATAACAATATTCATTTATGGGGTACACTGTTGTTAATGTGTGTTGCGTTTGCACCCTACAATAAACGTCGGAGAAAAGCAGCAACCAGCTCTGATAAAGTAACAACACAGCACTTCCAGCGAGCTGAAAACTCTGGGATAAGTTGTAAATACAGTAGTTTGTAGTCAGTAGTGGTTTGATAAAGACAGAAACGTTACATACGGGAATGTTGTGCGACCAATAAGCATCCAGCAGGTTTATTTTGGCAGGCTGACTGCGCATGGCTACAGTCAATATGGAAACATTACGGAGCGAATTAGCGAACAAATTGTGGGCACGTCAGATTAGTATGCCACCGAGGCAACAGCCTGGGGATTCACAAACACTATTCCCACACGGGAACAACATGCCATAACTTTACGCCAGCGAGCCAGACAGTAAACAAGACGGGTAAGCGCCGACATCACCACAATGGCCATACAAACAGCACACGTTAGCTTGCAGGCCCGAGCGGCCATGTCTGAGCCAGCCCAGCGTTAGCTAGCATTAGCATAGCTTTCCCCATGGATAGCTGCAGCTAAACTTTTCCTTCAAATCTGTGATTTCCCGACCCTGGCATGGTCCTTCTCGCTGACCCTGCCCGCGAGCGGATACGAACCAGAAACGAGTCGCGGTACCTCGAAGCGAAAAGTAAAACCACTTTGCCTACTTACCATTTTTAATGTCAAAATCAGACGGACGTTCAAATTCAGCAGATTTCTTCACCAGTCCCCTTTGCTAGACAATGAAATCAGAACGTCCGATCATCAATTCTAATCATGATTGTGACGTAGCGGCAGACAGGAGCCAATGGGAGCTCAAGATCATCGCTGTGACATTCGGAAAGGGCTGAAAACTGAGCACCGTGGTCCCGCCCACCATTGACTTTGTTCAGTGGGCTGCTGGAGGAGGAGGTCACAGACATGGAAGCAGCTCAAAGTTTGGATGGGAAATGGTCTGTGTCCTCATCACCTCAACATGTCAAACTATCATTAAAGTGTTTGTAGTTTAGTTAAAGCTGTGCTTGGATGTACAGCAAACCCTGAAGATGTTTAAGTGGACTGTATCACTGCAGGCTATAAAACATGTCACTGTTTAATCAGACAGCAAATGATGTATTTAGATTTCAGTCTCTAACTTTTCATATATTATTAGATGTAATGACAGGAAAAGGCTGTTTATGAGTGATGGTTTTGTTTCTATTTCAAAGATAAATGTTAAAATCACCATTTTTGAAATTACAGGTTTACATTACATTTACATTTACATACACTGTAAACTTTGTACAACATGCTTTGGCAATACTGCACTTAACTTTAGTCACACAAATAACACATTTAATTTGAATTGTATTACTTTTTTATATTAATAATCAAACGATAGAAAGTATGACAGATGTTTTAGAATAATAATTCAAAGTCATCTGTCATCCTTAAGTAAGGTATACTGCACCTTCAGCAATTACAGCTGATTTAGGTACTGTCTTATTACAGCCTGATAGCTTACTGGCAGTTTACTAGTTTTATACTTTACACTCTCCAATATGGCAACCGAGACAGTCCCTTGTGTGAGCTCTTGAGGTTTGAGTTTTTTATGTGTTGGGTGTGGTTTTTCCTCTTCATTTACATTCTGAAACTGGTTGTTCCAAAGATAAGGTCTGAATTAGGAAAGAAATCTTTTAGGTTTTCAGCTCCTGGTGTTTGGAACAAGCTTCAGTCTGAACTACATTTACATGCACTGATTCCTTTGACTGATTTTAAAGAGAGAGTGAAATCTTTGGAGTCCTGGCTTTCGGTCTGTGAATGTTTTATCTGATTGTATGAGTGTTTGTTCATGTTTTTCTAATTATTGTCAACTGTAACTATGTGACTGTATCACTACTGTCTTGGCAAAGTCTCCCGCGAAAAAGAGATCCCCCATCTCAGTGGGACTGACCTGGTTAAATAAAGGTTAAATAAATAAAATATATTAGGAAGACAGAAAGATACAGAGCATGAATGAAGAATTTGGCGACAGCAATTCAAACTATTATAATAAATGTTTTCTTTTTTTAACCAGGTTAAAACAAAAAATAATTTCTGAAGAGTTACCTTGCCAATGACATAAACACAACTACTATATTTTCATTTGAAGAACATTGTACATCATTATTATTACTTTGTGGAGCAGCCCTGTCTGTTTGAAGGAGCTACATGGCATCCTGCGCCTTGAAACAAATTTGATTTGTCTGTTTTGTTCTGTGTAAGAGAAATAAAGTCAATTTAATATATAATCAGTGTGTTTTGTGATCTGTTCCTATATGTGTGTGTCTGTGTTTGTGTATGCTTACTTTTTTTGTAGGGGTCACCAGCGCTGTAGTGGAGGGTATACACAGGTATACCGGGTACACACTCCTCTTTTTCTGGCTGTTTAGGGCCTATAGTATACCCACCTATCAGCCAAAAAGTTACTGGATTATATAGGTGAGTATACCCTCTTCCTCCTCAGTTTAACTACCTGTCTACCTAGTAGTACACACAGCTCATCAAGTATCATTACACCACAGGGTGTCACATATTCATTCTCTTTATTATTAACTCCCAGATTAAGCTATTTACACACTTAACTGCACAGGCAATTATATAGACACTGCTGAAAATGGTGTTGATGGTTGTTGTAGTCTCACTATAACAATGTTTTCTAGTTTGCTCTTTGGTATCCTCCCCTTTGTTTTGTTTCATTTTGAGGTATCCAACTATCTATCTATCTATACATATATATTTGAAGTGAGTTGGGTGGTGGTGGTGTGTGTTGAGGGGGGATGCTGCTCCAATCCATGACGTCACCTGTGTCCCAGGTGCGCAGCAGGGGGCGCTGTTCCTCACAGCTGAGCCCATGCACCGAGCAGCAGCGCCTGACAACTGATGCTGATTTCCTCATCCACAGATGGTGAACTTAAAAAACCAGCTGACATGTAAGCATCACCTTGCCGTGTGATGTAGCACGCGCTCCCAGCAGGCGCAAAAAAAGAAGAACGCAGACAAAAACAGCCTTCAAATATATATGTATAGCTATTTAAAGACTAATGATGAGACGAATTATGAAAAATACAAATAATACAATCATAAAATAAAATATTATTAATACCTTAGTGCACTGTGTATATGATTTATCATGGTGAATTAACTATATGTGAATTTCATGAAAGGGTTGGTTAAGTTATTTTTGTGTGCACCCTTGCCTGTCTCTGTATGCATGTGTGCATGTGTGTGTTTAAGGCAGGGGGGAGACCGAGGGAGAGATCCTCCCTATATGGTGTGCGATGCACCATTCCCTGGTCTGTGTTATGAGTGGTGGCCCTTGTGATGCTGCAGCGAGGCGGGCGGGAGGAAAAAGAGGAGAGGGGAGGGGTCGCTCCATCCCCTCGCGCCCACCGAATCCACTTCTCACAGCGCGCGGGCTGCTGGCGGGAAGGCACGAGGAAGGGAGAGAGAGAGAGAGTGAGGGAGCAGAGCGAGGGAACGAGAAGGGAGGGAGGGAACGGAGGAGAGCGAGCGTGTGTGTGCGTGTCTCCCCGTGTGTGCGCGTGAATTGCACCACCGCATCCCGTTCACCGTTTCTGCAGGCGGCCATGCTCTGATGGAGAGAATAAAACTGACAAAGCTTTCTTTTTCCTCAGATTTAGCCTCCGCCGTGTCATTCCAGATGTGACTGACAAGTCGTTTTATGTCGCCCGCATTGAGTCCTGTGCCGTTCATCTCGGAGAGACTGTGACACCATGGCTTTGGTTATGGAACCTATAAGTAAATGGACACCAAAGCAAGTGCTGGACTGGATGAAAGGTAAATTTCAGATCCCTTCATTGCATCTGGTTGATTGTGTTCACTGTGTTTAAATGATGCTGATGAAGATGATGATGATGGTGGTGGTGAGCAGCGGAGGGCCACACTGTGTGCATGTGTGTGCTCCTTATCCAAAAAAAATACCTGCAGGCTGACGTGTGATTTCAGCCGCTGGAGCTGACTAGTGTGAGACTGATTAAAGTCACCAAAGTGGAGTGAATGCGTTTGAGCCGGTGCAGTGAAATGGATGTCCCCAAGAAGCAGGGAGTGGAGGCTCAGCATTCTGTCATCTCGCTTGCTTGAGAGCGCACCCCTTCGCAAGCCAAGCCTATAGGCTGCTGCTGCTGCTGCTGCTGCTGCTGACTCCATGAGCAGCAGCAGCAGCAGCAGCAGCAGAGCTCCCGTCAATGAATGTGGAAGATATGTCATCTGCTCTTTCACTCACTGCCACATGCTCCGAGCCCACATCGCCACTCGTTGAATGTGTGCGCTTGTGCCTGCGTGCACGCGCGTGTTTGATTAATGTAGTTAGCTGCATGCACCCACCCCCCCACCACCACCTATGCCAGCCGTACAGTCAGTTTCAGCACCGTGGACAGCGCAATGCCGCCTACCATATAAGGCAAACGCACCGATCACACTTGCTATTTTTTGCTGTTGCTCGCTTTGCTGGCGCGAGATAGGTCCCTTCAAAGAGACAGTATGAATGAGTAATCACTAATCATGCGTGTGTGTGTGTGTGTGTGTGTGTGTGTGTGTGTGTGTGTGTGTGTGCGTGCGTATGTGTGTGAGTGGTAGGAGCCGCTCACACACACTCATGGTCAGACACAGAGCTGTGAGAGCAACTGTGGTAGGCCTACTGAGAGACAATGAAAATGGGGAGGGAGGGTGTCCGCAATCCCTTACTTAAGAGAATGACTTAATCACTTCTTGTGTGATGACTCAAACCTACAATGCAATGTTGCTATAGATACTTGGGATGTGTGTGTCTGCATTCATCACACACATGGAGTGATTGCTTTCAGCATCTAAGCCATGAATCTATCTAAAACTGTTTATTCCTACATGTGTTTCAAGGCTACTATAGCTCCTTTTCATTATGGCAAAGCACTGATGTCTGAGATTAGAAGTCAAGGAGATTGTCAGACCCTCAGGGGACACGGCGAGGGAGTGTTTGGGATGCGTTACGTTGAGTGATTACGATGATGTTCCTGGTTTTATAATTGCTCTCCTCAGCCACAGTAAGCAGCCAGTGAAGTTACGGCTTCATCCTCTGATCTGTGGAGTGTTCACTTGGAAAGCTTTGCTCCTGCACCTTTCCTTAAGAGAATTTGATTGCAGATTAGATTAGTAACAAGGCCAAATGTGGTTGGAATTTTATAATGTGAAAAGCATACCGAAAATGTTGGTTTTAGTTCAGTTTTTTGGATGCCATGGACATATTTGGGCTCACGAGACCTCAAAGTGAGATAGAAAGTCAGATAGTAGTAATCACTTAATGCCAAATGTGGAATTAATTACACTGTCCCATGTCTCAAAACATGCTGCCAATGTAGGGCCAGGAAGTTATCAGCCAGTCAGTCCCACAAAACCATGTGCTAAAATAAAATCCTGCATGTGGCAGTGATTTGCATTCCACCCACGGCAAACCAATGATTCCCCTCCTCGTACAGGCTCCAGTAACACTAGCTTTGAGCAATACATATGTGAAGACTGCATGTGAAAACATATAAGTTGGATAAAAATGTTCTATTGCATGCTTGCTCCTGTCTGCCAGTGAGGAAAAGACACATTTTCACATCAGTAATTTCAAGTGTTGTCTTCCTCAATCTCAAATCGTGCTCACTAGGAAATCACCACAATAGGAACTGAAAGTGTTGATGTAATTCAAAGCAAGGGCTGACAGGGGAAAGACAGCACATGCAGATGTTAGTAAGTGACATGAGTAAAACCTACTTAATCTGGGAAAAAAAGATCATATTTCATTATATGTCAAACACGTTATTATTTGCAGAAACAACCTCTTAGGTCTGTCACCAGTAAAGTAAAGACGAAGAAAAATATACACACTTGCACCCAAAGTCTTGAGGGAACATTGTTTCATCCGCTCCTCTCTTGGTCTTCTCATATGTGTCCTTTGAAAACAAGTCTCCTGGACCCCTCCACATGAAGAGCCGGGGCTCAGAGATTCACTTTCATAGACGTTCGCCAACATCTCCCAGTGTTGTCCCCATTCCCGTGAAGCCCCCTCCTTTTGCCTGCGGGGCTTCAAACATAGACCCTCAGTGGCAGGCTCATGCTCAGATCTTATTTTCTTATGAATAAAGTAAAAGGCGAAAGGCTAGTATTAATCTGTGCGCTTACAGGGGCTTCACCGTGGCCTCTTTTTCTGAAAGCACTTCATCTCTCTCACACTGATCTGCGTGCTCTTGTGCCTTTACAGGGAGCAGTGACATTGAGACCTTCCTTAAGAAGTACATAGTGATTTCTCTTGCTCACCATAAGAGAGAAGAATACTTAAATGTACACAGATGTAAGACGAAGACAGCAAACATTTGTCTACACTAAGACAAATTGCTATCATTTGTGTGTGGAGGGCAGGGGCATCAATCGGCCATCATAGTCTTTAGTTTCTCAGTCTTTCATGATAGAAACACTGGGCCTTTTTGCCTGTGCACAGTGGCTAATTGTGGCAATGTAGCTACACCTCTAGCTGAATTGTATGCACGTTATTATTATTATTTAGGGGGGCATGTAATGCCTCCAGTAGATGCCTCTAGTAGGAAAATGCAACAAAAGCCTCCAGAAGGACTAAAACTTGAGACACCACAGATCCTGACCGGCACCCTGACCCCTAAGCCATGGGGGTGCCCCTGAATTTTGTATTCTAGCTGCAGAAGTCTCAATATGTCATCAATATTCTGTACAGAAATTAAAATATTTTCACAATTTTACATGTCTTAATGCAAGATTTTTTTTAGATTTATTGACTTAATATACTATAATATCATGTATATTTTTTAAGAGTAGGCCTACATATCTTTACACATCAATTTACATTGTCAATTTTTAATCAGTATTTGGAGCAGTAATTCAAATTTCTTACCAAGGTAAAAATATCAATAGCACACTGTAAAAATACTAAATTACAAGTAAAAGCTCTTCATTCCAAAAATGACTTTATTATCATCAAGACATGCTTATCTGCCCCAAAGTGTTAATATATACTGCATATATACTGTATATAAAAATCTAAATATCATCAGTAGTTTTAGTTGCTTGATGCTAAGCTAACTTTAGCTACTTTGTGTACTGCTGGGTACTGTTACTCTGTTAGGCACTGGTTTTTGCTTCAGCTCCTTAAAAACACTTTTGTCTTGCATATTTGTGTATTTTACCAGATATTTAATACTGTTAAATATATTGTTCTTAAACTGGGTGCAGTGAGTGACCCTGACCCCGGGAACCCACTGGTTGTCTGGTTGGTACTGGTTGTGAATAGTTCAATAGTTCATGCCACAGGAATTTCCTCTGGGATAAATAAAGTTCTGTTGAATTGAATTGAATTGAATTGAATTGAATAGTTTATTATGTAATGATATATTATACTTTATAAAATAATTAGATATTTTGTATGATTTAGTATGCAAAGTAGTAAGAAAAGCTGTCAAACAAAATGTTCTGGAGTAAAAAGTTCATTGTTTTCCTCTGAAATGTAGTTTAGTAGAAGAAATACCTAACATAAAATGGTGATACTTAAGTACAAGTACCTCAAAGTTCTACTTCAGTACAGGACTTGAGTAGATGTATTTAGTTACTTTCCATTAGTGGTTTTGGAAGGGGATGTTTTTCATCATAAAGCTCCCTCCACCTTTGAAATAGCTACATTTGCATTCAGGTTGGCCTTGTGGGATCATCGGAGATAGTTTGAATTCTACAGACAGTATCAGGTTTGCAGTAGTCATCAGAGAGACACATTTAGGACTGCACTTTTCAGGAATCCGTCCTTCCACAGCACAGAGAAAGAGCTAAAATTACAAGCTTCATCCAGGCTTTTTGGACAGCAGCTCCTTACCCTCATCAGTCCCCTCCTGTCATATGAAAGAATATGAGACAGGGAGACGGGATACTCTGCAATCCTATTGAGAAAACCTGACACAGCTAGCTACCAGGCCAAGCGGCGTATACTGTATCTCTCAGTGCTGTAGAAGGACTGCTCCAGCAGCAGAACACTGGTGAGGCTCACAGAAAGATGACTCATCAGCGTTTGTTTTGATTTGAACACCCACACCGGAGGAGTTTCCTCTATGTGTGTGTGCGAGGGGTATGTATCTGCTGGGGTGTGTGCAGACGCAATTGATGTGTAAAGTATGAAGCGTAAGGATCTGTGCTTTAACGTGTTAGGCAGCCGAGAAAAAATGGACTTCTTCTGTGCTCTCCGTGCTGTGTATACCTCATAAGATCACCCTGTGCTTTCAGGCGCACGGTATCGGCAGCCTGCTGATGCATACAGTGACAGGAAAATGAATAAGGCAGTTCACTTTTCCTGCAGTAATCTCTCTTTTCCTCTTTTTGTGCTGAAGTATTGGAACAAAAAGAATGTAAAAATAAAGGTGTGTGTGACGTTGCAGGCTGAGAAAGGGACTGTGAATGACTGAGATCACGAGATGCACACATTTAGATGGAATTCAACACATTGTTGTGTAGCAGTGGTATGACATGGACACAGAAGACGATTTGCTCCTCTGTTGAAAGAATCCCCTGGATGTTATTTGGGCCTTTGAGTGTCCTGGGGTGGGGAGAGTCATGTTAACTACCGTCCCATACTGTGTCCTCTGATTTAGTCTCCTGCTGACACGGTAAAGAAGTCTGTGTTGGAAAACACGCGTCCCCTGGCTCTGACTGTGTGCTTGTTGTAGTTTCAGCTGCATTAAAGATTAAAGAGCGTGCCTTATTATGAGGAAACACACACACAAACACACACACACACACACACACAG